ATATATATAAAATCTCTAAATCAGATTTCTGTATCATTACAAGTAGTATGCATATCTACTTAGACCTAAGTACTGCCAATTTATTAACTTAAAGACATGTCTATAGGTATGTGACACTTTTTAAAGATTAAGGCTTCTGCAGGCAGGGTGGTGCACACCTGTAACCAGCACTCAGGAGGCTGAGGTGGGAGGATTGCTGTGAGTTTGAGGCAAGCCGTAAGTACATAGTGAGACTCTGTCCCCAAAAAACAAAACAAATCAAAAAACAAATAGAAGATTAATGCTTTTATCACTTTCTCAATTCCCAAATTTTGTGAACATATGCTAATTTCATAAGCAGAGGTAAAGGAAATGAAGTTACATTTAATTCCACCACTTAAAGACACATTCCTATATGCTAATGGAGCCATAACTTAATACAGTACTTTCTCCACTGCTGGCCTCAAACTCATGATCCTACTGTCTCTGTCCCCAAGTAGATGGGAAACCACACCCAGATCTCTAATGTATAAGAGACTCTGTGATTAACATTTTCCATATTGCTTGAATTTCAGATTATTTCCAAAAACCACATTCCTATAACAGGAAACTCAGGGTCAAGGTATTTTGAGCCATTTAAGGTAACTGGTATATCCTAACAAATGGTTTCCTCCTGCAGATTAACAAACTGCAATGTCATCAGTGTGGCCCAGGTACTGTCACTAGGTTGCAGCATGCCAGTATAAAAATCCATGGCTAATTCTAAAAGCTAATAACTATCAATGTCTAAAACTCATGTTTATTCCTTTTAACATGCTTTCAGCACTATATATTTAAAGCATTTGGTTTTGTCTATAAATACAACAGAATGTATTAAGTCTTTAAGTGTGTATTCCATAACAAATCTTCACAGGTTAAAATGACTGCAGGCACCACAGGACAGAGTTCATGCAGAGATGCCGTCCTGATGCAGGGACCTGCTGTCCCTCTCTTGACCAGGACTTCAGGAGGATAGGACCAAGAGTCCCCTCTCAGCCCCCCACACCCCAGCAGATCCACCAGAAGCACGTTTACCTCCCACATCAGGGAATTGTCGCTGTGGGTCTTCAGTTCATTGGCGCTGATCACTTTACCTTGAAAGGGCCCAAACCTGATTCCTTTGGCAAGGAAGCTACTGCAGAACACACCGAAATGTGGCACTGCACCCAACATCATCCGCACCAGGCAGAGACCTAGGGGGAACCCGAGGCAGGAAAAGAGAATGAGGAAAGCGACTCCACATTAGGTCCAGGAAATCAGTCAAGCAAGGAGTGCTGCCTACCTTCTGGAAGCTGAAGAGAGTCTTTATCCACACTTTGAGGAGGAGGCTCAGACCCTAGAAAAAGGGCAGGGTTAAACATTTCGTTAGAAATGTATTATGAGGGCAGGGGATTTAGCTCAGTGGTTCCACCACCTGCCTGGAAAGCACAAGGTCTGGAGTTCGATCCCCGGTACCAAAAAAAAAAAAAGAAGAAGAAATGCATTATGAAATCCTTTTCTAAAGCATTTCCCTCCTTCTCCCAGGAGGAAACCATCATTCTGCTCGTCTTTTTTTTTTTTTTTTTGGTACCGGGGATGGAATTCGGGTCCTTAGTTTTCGAGGCAGGCGGTGGAACCACGGAGCTAAATCCCCTACCCTTGTCTATCTTTTATTATTATTGCTTTACTTCTTTGACACCGCTTTTCCAACACTTTTTCTTTTGAGACTCAGATCCTTTTTGTACAAAGTTATGTAATTGTAATTAGCTCCATTTTGCAACTTGAGGAAGGAGACTCAGATAAAGTCAGGCTGATGTCAGCAGACAGCTGCCCTGGACTCCCATGACTCGCATGAGGTTGTCCCGGAGGGGCATCGCACATCCATGTCCATTCAAGCGACCATTTTTTCTGGTCCTCTGCGCTCGCGGAAACCACCCTTAGGAATCACCACGTTAGGCAAGCAGGGGCTTCAGAAGTGAGCCTAGATCCCCAGGCTCGGCTGCAGATAGCCCAGGGACCCCAACCTCTTCACCTTTAAGTGACTCATCCCACACGGTTCCCATCCAACCCAACTCCCGGCAGGCGTCTGCTCCCTTTACCAGAACTGTCGGCGGGGACCAGGAGGCCGGAAATCGCATGCTGCAGGCTGGCTGAGCTCTCCAGGCTGAGCGCGACCCCGTATAGAACGAAGTGCAGATCCTCCTCAGAGAAGTGGAAACGACGACCCGGAGATGACTTCCCCTCTTGGTTCGACTTCCCCTCTTGGTTCGGGGGTTTGGGGCTTTCATCAGGGCGCTTGCTGGGGGAAGATACTAATTGGGAAGTCTTCAGCCCCTCAGGCAATGGGGAGGTATTCACAGGGGGAAGCGGAATTAAAGTCTCAGGGCGCCAGCACTGGCCGCTGTCTCTGTGGCCACTCACGGGAACCAAATTGTCGCCGTTCGCGCCCGTGTACTCGTGGCTGTTCAGAAAGAGTGGCACCTCCCTGGGGAGGTGGGAAACTGGGTACCACAGAGGTAACTTGGTGTACCAGGGTAGGTCAAAGAGTGGCTCCCTTTGTAGAGCCAGACCCTGGCTCTGCAAGGTGGAGGCCATCCCGAAGGGGAAAGGGGTCATCGCCGGAGACGCGGACATTGCGGCCTCCAGCTGTCCGAGGGGCTGGAAGTCCTCCTCCGCGGCGGGCAAGGCGCTCCTGTAGCGGCCATAGGCTGGGAACGGCGAGTAGTAGGGAGCCAGGGGCTGGGGGCTTCTCTGGAGCCTCTCGGCCGGGTAGCACATCTTGTCCTGGGGCTCGGCCTCCCCAGGCGGCCGTAGAGCCATCGCGGGCTACGCTCTTCGGGACTGCGGAAAAGCGAGAGCGGCTGAGCGCGCGAGGCCGCGGTCGCGGTGTCCCCGCCGCCCCGCTTCTTCCGCCCCCCCCCCCGGGGTCTAAGTTAATCGTATCAAGTTCCTAATTCTATACCCGCCAGCCCTATCTCATAAAGCGATCACACCCAAAAGCAGTAAAAACAAAGAAAGACCTAACGAAAATCCGCCGGGATCCCTCCCGATTCCAATTTCCCGGTTAGTGTCGCCTTCGCCCTGAGTCTCCAAACACACCTTGACCAGGCACGGGTGGTTTCCAACACCCGCTCTCTACCTTCGGCCCCCACCCGAACCCTGCAAAACTTGTTTGAATTCCCTTCCCTTCCTTTTCCTCTGGCCATAAAAGCTCCTACAGGGTCGCCCAGAGACTCGCGGTCCACTGTCCTCCCACCCGCGGGCTGCGTTGCAGGCGGCTGCTCCAGGCGGTGCTAGGTCCCGGCGGGAGCGCAGAGCTGAGGGCCCGGGCTGCGTGACCCTCGCAGGTCCCGGCCACCCGGCCGCACCGAGGAGTCGCACGTCGCCTTCGACTCCCTGGGGAATCAGTCGGCTTCTAGACCTGTTTTCCCTCGAGTCAAGTCCCGACCCAATCCGCCAGCTCTCACGGAAACGCACGCCAGCCCAGCCTGGGAATGAAAGAGCCTGGGGCCGCCTCTCGGGAGCCAGCGGGGCGAACCCCAGGCCAGGCGGGAGGAGAAGCACCGGCGGCCGCTGTCACCACCCCAGTCCCCGGCCTGGAAAGGATGGCATCGTAGTGAACACGCAGCAAGTTCATCACGGCTGAGGCACGAAGCCCCTTCAGAGCCGTGGGTCTAGGAGGCAAGATCAATGAGCCCAATAAGGAAAACAGCCAGGGTCGTGACTCTGGAATCAAAGAACACGAGGTCAGGAGCAGAGGTCAGCCAAGGCGCAGTATCAGCCGGGCTCCTCCGGAGCTTCCGAAGGCGCCTGCTCCTCTCCTTCGCCCCAGCTACTTGCAGCTCGGGGCCGAAAGTCTTTTAATAAAAGCTCCCAAGACATCAAGACGACCGCCCTGACCGCCCTGGAAGACGAAGGCCACTCGGTCCCCGGGCGCACCCACTCGGGCACCTACCTCCGAGTACCCAGCTCTCCTGGAGCCGGAACGGCGGCGCGGACTCCGGCAGACCCCGAGGGCCGAGGCGGGTTTAAAAGGGAGGTGGGCGGGCGGGGCTCTGCGAGGGCGAAGGCAGGGAAGGGACCCAGCCCACGCAGGTCCCCAGGTCTGGCCACTCCCCGTCCGCCGCCGCTATTGGCCGGCGCTCGACTTGCCCCCGGGTCCCCAGAGTTCACCCACTCTCCGCCTAACCTTCCTGGGATCCTCTCGAGAGCTGGTCACCCACTTCCTGAGGCAGGCGCTGCCGCTCGGGCTTGGGGCGTCGCGGAGCCAAAGGCCGGGTCCCCAGGGATCCCCGCCAACCCTCTGCGCACATTCGCACCCTGAACTGGCGTCCGGAAGGTCGAATCTCGAGGCCCGGGGTCGCAGCCCCGTCTCTAGATTTCGGGGTCTCAAAAGCCGAGCCTGCAGGAAGGAGGCGTCAACCCTTCCCAGGGACCAGCTGGGCGTTCGTCCCCGCCGCCCTGGTGAGGAGCTGGGCGCCGCCCTGAGGGCTGGGTCGCGGCCTCGAGGGTCCCGGGTCGGGCACCTGAGCTCGCGCAGCTCCGCGCCCCCGACACTTGCAGGGTTTCAGGTGTCCGTGTCGCCTCGCGTGGGCTTTTGCTCCTCACGGGGCTCTCCCACCCGGGGTCCCAGCGCCTCCTCGGGTGACCTCCCTCCCGAAGACTAGCGACCTTGCACGCTGGGGGCTCTGAAAACCCAGTCCAGGCGCAAAAAAGGCACTCAACGACCGCATTTTTATCCCCCCGGCCGGCCATCGAGGCGGAGAAAGGAGAGCTTAATTCTATTCTCATTCACAGAAGGAAGCACCTAGGGTGGGGGAAAGCGTTGTAAAGGCGTGTGACCTTGGCCGGGGTCCCCGCCAACCCCGCCGCCGCTTCCTCCTGGCTTTGCGGGGCGCGCGCCCTAACCAGGGAGCTGGGGGCGACCTCGCCGGGCGCTGAGGACGGACGGAGGCGAAGGAGAGCTCGCTCACCCGCCCAGGGCCGCCGCCGAGGGTCCTAAAGCCTCGGCCCTCGTCCCGACCCTCCGCCGCGGCCGGTGGCTCTCCTCCTCGGTCCCGGGACGAGGACTCCGTCGCCTTCGCCCCCGAGCGGCTGTGAGAGGAGCGGAGCCGCAGGCGGCGCAGGCCCCGAGGGCGCGGGCGGTGCGCGCTCTGGACTGGGCCCGAGGTGCCCCGGCCCCGCCCTTTCCGCAGTCGGACGGAGGCTCTGAGACCGGAGATGGTGGACCCTCTTCCCTACCGGGGTGGGAACGACGAGGAACCCAGGCTTGCTTTCTCTCTGTCTGGAAACGAGGATCTTGGCCAACACCTAGAAGCGTCGACTGTCAGAGCTTGATCTGAGTGTCAAGCACCCCCTGGGAAAGAAGCATTTTTATTTAGAAAGCAAAACCTGTGCCGCTGTCCTTTCCTTCCGGACCCATGCCCACCTCAGGACTTGAGCCCCACTTGCATTCAAGGGCAACTTCTGCCTGTCAGACCTCGAGGGCAGGATTTAAAAACCAACTCAGGGACATAAGGGTGGTTATGGGTGTTAGGCCATAGCGGGGCTATTTTTTAATACACTCAAAGGTTGTAACTTTGTTCTTGTGTTGTTGTTATTTTCTTAGTTTTATTTTTATTTTTTGGTAGGGGGATCGAACTCGGGCCCTTTCGCTTGTGAGGCAGGAGCCGGAACCACTGAGCTAAATCCCCCGCCCTGTTGTTTTTTGAGACAGGGTCTCGCTATGCAGTTCAGGCTGGCCTTGAACCCACTCTGTAGACCAGGCTGGCCTTGAACTTGTGGCAATCCTCTTGCCTCAGCCTCAGGAGATGCCACCATGCCAGGCCAAGGGTTGTAGCTTTATTAGCAGAAGCAACATGAACCCTACCTTACAGTCTTGTTCTGCAAAGATTCAAGTTTACTACATTTTAAATCTTGTTTTAAACTATTAAGACATATTTGTTTAAATAACGAAATAGAGAAACTCAAAGTGCAAATCCATCCCTTCTCTTCTCATATCTTTTACTCCCTCTACCCTCCTCTTTGGAGGTAATCCTAATTGACAGTGTGATTACTCTCCTACTCCCTAGTCCCATTCTGGTTTTTGGTAGTGGGGACTGAATTTGGGCTTCCAGCACTGGGGCAAGCACTCTACCATTTTCCTCTACTGACCCACAGTCCACGCCCTCTCCTGCCCCCACCTTTTCTTTAAAGACAGAATATCCTTGAGTTGCTCGGGCTGGCCTGGAATTTGTGATCCTCCTGAATCCCAAGTAGTTAGGATTACTTTTTTTTTTTTTTTTTTTTTTAGTTAGGATTACTTTTAATTTGTGCTTGTACACGTGGGATTTTAAGAAAACAAAATGAGATATTTTACTTTATTTTTCTGCAACTTCTCTTGCTTGATATCTACTAGTCGTACTTCACTATCAGTATATTAGGGTTAACTCTACTCCTTATAATGACTGCAGGGTCCAGAATTTGTGTCCTGGGTGTGCCCGGATATTTCAGATGTTGAAATTGTTGCCAGGTTTGCCAGCTTGGAGCTTCTGGGAACACTGTTATTCAGGTGCGTATTTGTGTGGCTGTGCCCAGTAGAGAAATACCCACAGGTGGAACTGCTGAATCAAAAGATGTTTGGTCTGAACATCGGGACAGATGCTTCAAGCCCTTCTGCTGTTACCTCTTCCAGCAGTGAATGCAAGTAAGTGCCCTGTCTCTCAGACCTCAGCTAATGCTAAATTTTCCCAGTCCTTTAAAGCTGCTCATATCAGGTGAAAAGTGGTATCATATTCTTTTTTTTTTTTCATGGTATATTATCCTAACTTGCCTTTTACTCTTTTACTTAAGCAACTTTCTTTTTTTCTTTGTTTTTAAAATTTTTTTGGTTTTTTTGAGACAGGGTCTTGCTATGTAGTTCAGGCTGGCCTTGAACTCATGGCGATCCTCCTGCCACAGCCTCCCCAGTAGCTGGGACTCCAGGTGACCACCACCAGCTTAACGATTTTTTAATGCATCACTGATGGGTGAGGCACCAAGCCAAGTACTGGGAACACAATTGGGTGCAAAGCCACCTTGGCTTTTGTAACAGTCTAATGAGCTGGGCGTGGTAGCCTGTAATCCCTACACTCTGGGAAGCTGAAACAGGGAGATCACAAGTTTGAGCCCAGCCTAGGCAATTTAGTGACTCAGTTAGGCCCTGTCTTGAATTAAAATATAAAAAAGAGTGGGGGTGTACCTCGATGCAAAGCCCTTGGGTTAAAACCCCAGTACCACAAACTAAAGAAAGTAAATGAATAAATGTCTAATGAGGAAGATCTGAATTTGTGTGAATACTTGATGAATGTATAATGATGAAATGTAAAAGAAGCAAAGAAAGAAGTATGAAGCCTCAGTGAAAGAGAACAGAAATACACTGAGCTATTCTGGGAGGATGGGAGTTTTCTCCTGACCTGTGAAGTTGGAAAGGTCTGTAGAAAGGAGCTCAGTGAAGGAGAGGGTGTAAGTGGTCTTCCAGGCTGCATTCCACTCGATGCAACAGCCCTGAGCCCTGGGGGAGCTTGGCTCGTTCATGCACTGGAGCCTGGGAGGTGGGAGAGTCAGCCCCTGCCAGGTCTTAGAGCAGACACTTGTTAAAATGCAGCGTCCTGAGGCTGAGGCAGGAGAAATGTGAGTCTGAGTCCCATCTGAGTAACCTAGCAAGAGACTGTCTCAAAATTTAAAAAACGTTGGTGATATAGCTCGGTGATAGAGCACCCTCAGGTTTGATCCACTCCACAATACTAGAAAAGAAGGGGGAAGAGAAGAAGGAAAAGTGTCCTTATATACTCACTTGCAAGCGTTCATTATAGAAATCCTCTCTCTGTATCTGTGGGTTCTCCATCATCCGATTGAAACAACTGCAGACCAAAAATATTTGTAACATTAAATCAGGTATTTTAAGTAACCTAGATGTGATCTGCAGTATGCAGGAAGATTACATGCAAATCCAATACTATTTTTACACTTGATCTAGCCAAAAGGCCGAGAAGCGATTCCAATACTATTTTTATTAAGGACTTGAGCACCTGTGGATTTTGATATGGATGGAGGGCTGGAGAACCAACTGTCCACAGATACTGAGAGATGACTGTGACGGGAAGCCGCTGTAGAGATCCCTAAGATACCCTGAAGAACGTCAGCATGCATATCTTTTTTTCTTTTTTATTCAGCATGCATACCTTTAAAGTTCAGCATTTGTCTACTTTTTTTTTTTTTTGGTACCGGGGATCGAACTTGGGACCTTGTGCTTGCCAGGCAGGCAGCGAGACCACTGAGCTAAATCCCTGGCCCCCTTTTGTCTACTTTTTTTTGTTGTTGTTGTTTTGAGTCAGGGTCTCCCTTCGTAGTTCAGGATGGCCCTGAACTCACTATGTAGCCCAGGCTGGCCTCGAACTTGCAGTGATCCTCCTGCCTCAGTCTCCTGAGTGCTGGGATTACAGGCTGTACTACCACGCCCGGTTTTTGTCTACTTTTTTTTTTTTTTTTGGTACTAGGGATCGAACTCGGGTCCTTTCGCTTATGCAGCAGGCGATGAAACCACTGAGCTAAATCCCCAGCCCATTTGTCTACTTTTTTAAAGGTGAAATTTATCTATAGTAAAATGCACACTTAACTGTACCATGAGCTTTGACAGGTGCATAAAACCAGTGTAGCTGCATTCTACAATGGCTGCTCTTGGCCTCTCCTAGGTCATGGGGTTTGGAGTTACCTCAGAGTGGGGGAATCAGTACATCTGTAATGGCTCTGCTTGGGGTAAATGATTGGACAGGGCATTCTCTTAGCATCTAGATCAACCTAGATGCTACCGTTTTCTGTGGCAGCATGAAGGTGATTGGAAGTTCCTTGACCTTGGCAGGGATACCCTCTGAGGTTAAACAGCCTCTTTCTGTAGTTCCCAGAGGCTGTGGATGACCCCAAGGTGCTCCTGACACCTGTGTGTATTGACTCTTCTCTCCAGCTGGTTAGCTGGCTCCTTCGAAAGCAACATGCTCTCTGGGATATAACGAATCACATTCTAAGGGTGATTTAAGATCTGCTGTGGCAAAGTCAGTCTGAACATTTCCTCTTACTGTCTGCAGATCTGATCCATCAGTGATTGAGGTCAATTGTGGCTGTCCAAAGCCTTTTATAGTAAGTATGCATGGGGCACAGATGGTTCTTAGACAAATTCCAGTTTGGTAGTTTCCCTCCTCTTGGGATGGAAGGAACATTGCAGCATTCAAAGAACTACAGCAATGGATAGATACGTGTAGGAGAAAGAAAAGACATACACAGGCTCAGCTATGGATGTGCATTTCATTGAGCAGCTTGGGGTACCACTAGGTTCACGGAAGATCCCCAAACCACGTGAGCAGAAGCCTCCATTGGTTGACCGTGTCTATTAACACCTTCATGCAAGGTGGATAAGCCTTTGCCATGCGGGGGACAGTACAATAAATTATGGGTGGTTTTGATGCAGTCGAGTTACAACACTAAGGACCTGAGCAGGTCATTTATGAACAGACCTGGACAAAGGTTTAGGGTAAGTTAGATCATGCAAGATAGGCAGTTACCGGAGCCCTCACTCTAGTGTGGAAAATGTCTGCTCAGGCTGGTGTCCCCAGGAGAGGGGTCTGCCATGAGGATTCAGCTGGGTCCTAAAGAGGAAGGAATTTCCAGGAATTTAGAACTCCTTGTCTTCAGTCTGTCTTTGCCTAGCAATCACTTTTCCATGGTCATGTAGGGAAGTTCTGGGTGGTGTTTAGTCCACAGTCCGGGGGAAAAAACTTCCTTGAGCCAAATCATACCTTAAATCGTGAATCTTTTGCTTAAAAAAACCTGCAGGTCTTTTTGACACCTATGTTCTTTTTTTGCTAAAATGGCCAGAAAGAAGATAGAATTCATTTTTAGAGCTTAACAAAAGCTTTTCTAATCGTAACAAAGCTCATCCTACAGAAGAACTTCACAGTGCTGAGATTCTGCTTGACAACCTGTGAGGCCCGGGGGTGTAGCTCAGTGGTAGAGCACAGGCTTAGCATATGTGAGACCCTGGAGTCAATCCTCAGCACCAAAACCAAAAATCCTGGTGAGAAGTAAGGAGTCATTGCAAGGCTGCAACCTCACAGTCCCGCTGCGCTATGGTCCTTCCAAGGGCAGATGCACAGAATTGAGTTTAAGAAAGCAGAACGAAGATGTCTGACTATAAAATAAACAGCCTTGGGTGGGGTTGGGGGAAGAGTAGCACTTGAACTTGGGACTAGTGGAATGTGAGGTATGGTTATCTTAATTTTAGTGTTGAGATTGGGAAATAAGCTGCATCCCCATTCACAGAGTTATTTAATGGCCAGTGTTCTGGCTTGTGTCTAGATGTCCCCCAAAGCCTCCTGCAGTCATAGGTGGGGCTTTTCAAAGGTGGCTGGATCTAGAGTGTGTAATTGATTCATGGTGCATGCTAGGATTAAGGGTGGGTGATTACTAGATCAGACCACTGATTGGTTTGGGGCCACCCTGATCCCAGTAGCCTGGATACCATATAAAGGACAGAAAGAAGCTTGTCCCCTGCTTG